CATTAAAAGATTTAACATTTGTCGCGAATAAACTATGAGACTCTAGATTATTTGATATTATTAAGCAATATTCATCATCTTCAAATGAACGTAGTAAAGTAGCAAAGCCAACAATCAATCTCAATTCATAGTTATGGTATTTTGTAGTCTATAGGTGTTCAAATTGTTTGGCTTCGTCTCTAGTCTAATTTATTTACACAATTTGAATACCAAATTTAAACGTTGTGTTCGATTTCAAAACATTGTTCTTTTTTCCTTTTCTTCTTCTTTTCTTTCTTTTCTTTTACTTCTTTTTCTTTCACTTTAGTCAATTTGAGATTTTTATAGAAAATAGTTTGCAGATAGAATGAAGCATCTTCGTATATACTGACTTCGTGAATAAAAAATGGTTGCAAATCACTTTTGATGTTGTGCTTTACCCCCTCTTGAGAGTATTTAATACACTAATAAAGGGTGGACGATACCATTCTATATTCATAGAGTCAAGTTCTACCCACGAGAGCATTAAAAGAAGCTTCATAATTTATTATGTGAAATTTGGCTTCTATTCTTAGGGTTTTTATTTCTTGTACCAGGGTTATCTATTGGAGTTAGTTCAGGGAAAGAATTATCTATGCACATGTAGCTACAATTTCTAAAAAGTTAGACACTATTGGAGTTAGTTTAGGATCAAAATCATCTATGCAAGTGGAAGAAAATGATGAAAATTCTATTAATGATAGTAATATACCATGGATTGAGTATAAATTTGATTGGAAGATAAAATAATTTTATTCTAATACATATAATCCAAGTTAGAGGAACCACCCTAATTTTAATTGGTCAAATAATATTGGTGGTAACAATCAGTGGAATGCAGGTCAATCAAATTAAGGAGAAAATTGGAATAATTCTCAACAACCTATAGGAAATCTTAGACCTTCATACCCTCTCGGGCTTTGATCAAAATAATCAAAAATAAGGAGACACGTTTGGAAGATATAGTAATACAAATGGGAATTCAATTACAGGATTTAGCCCTTAGAAAAATAAAAAAATCAGATAGGGCAACTTATTAGTTTGATCAACAATCAGAAACTAGAAGAACAATGCAATAATATCCAGCTTAGGAGTGGGAAATATTTAAGAGATCCTTATAATGATAAAGATCATCCTCAAAAGGATCATGGTATTGAAGAAACCGTAGAAATTGAACCTCCTACTCAATAACTTGGACCTATCTAAGAAACTAGTAGAACCATTAGAAAGGTTATATAGAGATCACTACCACCTTTTCTCTAAAGGTTGATCAAACAAAACTTTGATAAGCAATTCTCTAGGTGCTTAGAAGTGTTTAGAAAATTAATCATCAGCATATCCTTTTCTGAAGCCTTAGAGAAGATGTCCACCTATGCTAAATTCATGAAGAAAATTTTGAATAAGAAAAGAAAGTTAGGAGAATTTAAAATTGTACCTTTAACTGAGAACTATAGTGCTCTTATTCAAAAGAAACTTTCTGAAAAATTGAAAGACCTTGGCAATTTCATTATTCCCATGATAATAGGAGGAAAATTTTGTGGTAGAGCTCTGTGTAATTTAGGATCTAGCATAAATCTTATTCCCCTATCCATTTTCAAAAGAATGGATGTAGGAGGGTTCAACCCACTACTGTTACCCTTCAGCTAGATGATAGGTATTTCATTTATCCTGAAGGGGTGGTAGAATATGTCCTTGTTAAGGTATATAAGTTTATTTTCCTTATTGATTTTATTGTCTTAAACATGGAATAGGATAGGAAGACATCAATTATTTTGGGGAGACCTCTCTTAGCAAAAGAGAAAGCTATGGTTGATGTTCATAAAAGGGAATTAAATATGAGGGTTAAAGATCAAGAGGTGATCATTGATGTTCTTAAAACCATAAAATTCCCTCATGAAAAGAATAGAGATTGTTTAGAATTAATCTAGAAGAAACTTGAGCAAAGAGCTTTAAGGAAGAATTGTTAGGTAAAAACTCTTTGGATGAAGATTTTGAGGAAAATGGTGAGAACTTAGGAGAATTTATTCAATCTATTGGTGATACTGTTGAAATGTTTAGAGGGGAGTTTGAAACCCCATATAGTCTATATGTGGGAAGAACCTTAAGACCCTATGTAGAGTAAGCCCCTGTTTTAAAACTTAAGGTTTTGTCCAACCATCATGCTTTTTAAGGAAAAGATTCAACTTTGCCTATAATAATTTCTACAAGCTTAGACAAGGAACATGAGGGCAAGTTGATTAGTGTTTTAGAAAATTATACGAAGGCTTTTGGTTGGTCTATTACTGATATTAAAAAAATTAGCCCCACACTGTGTATTCATAAAATCTTAATAGAGGCTAATTTTATATCAAAAGCTGATCCTCAAACAAGATAAGACTATCTATGAAAGAGATTGTTAAAATAGAGATACTTAAATGACTAGATGCTGAAATTATCTATCCCATTTCAAATTGTGCTCAAGTCCAATTCAATGTATACCTAAGAAGGGTGGTATGAATGTAGTATCCAATGAATTCAATGAACTTATTCCCACCAGGACAATCACTAGTTGGAGAATATATATAGACTATAAGAAGCTAAACAAAGCCCTTAGGAAAGATCATGATCATTTCTCTTTGCATTTCCTTGATCAAATATTGGATAGGTTGGTAGGACACTCTTTTAATTATTTCTTAGATGGATATTTAGGGTATCACCATATTCTTATAGTACATGAGGACGAGGACAAAACTACTTTTACTAGTCCTTATGGGACTTATTCCTTTAGAAGAATGTCTTTTGATCTTTGTAATGCATTTGTTAATTTTCAAATATGTATACTTTCTATTTTTTCAAATTTAATTGAACGAAGTATTGAAATTTTTATGGATAATTTTTGTATTTGGTACTATATTTGATTCTGTCTTGATCATTTAAAATTTATAATTAAAAGATGTGAGAAAATAAATTTAGTACTAAATTGAGAAAAATGTCAATTTATGATAATTAAAGGCATTGTTTTAGGGTATAAGATCTCTAAGCAAGGACTCTGAAGTGGATAAGGTGAAACTTCAAGTAATAGAGAAACTGCCTCTACCCACTTTAGTTAAAGGAATTAGGAGCTTTTTTGGACATGCAGAATTTTATGGAAGATTTATAAAAGTTTTTCAAATATCTCTAAGCCATTATGTCATTTGTTAGAAAAATATGTCCTTTTATTTTTGATACTGCATGCCTAATGCCTTGATGCATTTAAATCTTTGAAATGATATTTAATTTTGCAATTGTTATTATTGCTCTTGACTGATCCTTGCCTTTTATTATCATGTGGTGATGCAACTGATTTTGGTGTAGGAGCAATTCTTGGTCAAAATCAAGATAAGAAATTTCATATTATTTTCTATGCTAGTAGAACTTTAAATGCTTGACAATACAACTATACCACTAAAAAAGAACTGCTAGCCATCATCTTTGCTTTTGATAAATTTTGATCTTATTTAATTGACAGAAAAATAATAGTATACACTGATCACTCTGCAATCAAATATTTATGACAAAAAAGGACATTAAACCTAGATTGTTGAGTTAAATTCTTTTATTACAAGAATTTTATGTAAAAATTTTAGATAGAAATAGAACTAAAAATCAAATTGCTAGTAATTTATCAAGACTGAGAATTGAAGAACCTACATCTAATGAACTTGAATTTAATAATTTTTTTCTTGATGAGCAACTGTTTGCTTTGCATCTGAGTAGATCACTTTGGTATTCTGATAGTCCATTTCATTGTTAGTAGTGTGCTTCCAATTGATTTATCTTCTACTAAGAAAAGAAATTTTTTGCATGATGTTAAATATTATTTTTGAGATAAACCACATTTATTCAAATCTTGTAATGCCCAAATTATTAGGATATGTGTCCCTTAAAAAAAACATAAAGCCTATAATTAGGGAATGTAATAAATTTCGCTCTAAGCCATTCACAATGAGGTACAACAAAACTATTCAACTCTTCCTCTAGCTATATCATTAATTGGGTTTATCCTCAACAAATTAGAAGGAAATACATTAGTACCTTCATCTATTTTAATTGAAGTCAAATATCTAACCATTTTAAAATTTTCATCCTCATTGTCTAATCCACCCCCTGATATAGTTAGTAACCATAAAACTAACTCTAGGCATCTTTGTGGACTGATCTAAAATTATTTGAACCACATCAACTTCATGATCTGAATCAATTTTTAAATTGTAGTAGTAAAAACATACAAGCATCATTAGAGTTAAATGAATCTCTATATAATGGTATTTAGCTTTCTTCTTCTTGACATTGTGCCATTGTTCCCCTCTTGCAAAGAAAAAGGGATAGGAACTTGTTGCATAACTTGTCAAATTGTCTTAATATGGTTACTTGATGCTCATTTGGGATGACTTTCTTATTGCTTCTTGAAGCAACTTTTTAATACAAAAACTAAAACTTTCATACTATAAAGCTGCTTTAAGAAGCAGTAAGAAAGTCGTCCCAAACAAAGCCTGAATCTTCTTTTCGATAGTGAACTTTGCTAGCAGATAATGATCTCCATCTTAGTAAGATGCCACCATAATGGTTCAAGATGTCCTCAAATATAATACTAAACGCCATTATGCTCCTATTTGATGCATTGGTGTAGAGTAACAAAACACTATAAGATCAACCAAAAAGAGATGTGCCCAACATCTAAGACATAGAACATTGCCCCAAGTTAAAGGACTCCAACAAGAAGCAGCAAGGCAATTTATGAGCATTGTACATACCAGCTTCGTTGAAAGTTTCCTCAAACGCACTACGACATCATATCAACTTTATGAAGGTGCAGAACATCAACCTTGCCATGTAGCTGGTCAAGTTGCGGTAACAAATGAATTTCTTCAGTTTTAATTTCATTTTCTTTTGGCTACAACACGAGGTGGGAGGACTTAATACTTCAAAGTTGAATCTCTACAAAACCTGCAAAAGAAAGAACGAAACGTGAACATATCTAACATGTTCATTCTCTGTATTAATTCCTTACATTTGACAAACTCCATTCCCTCACATTTCCTTAATTTAGGAATTCAATTCTCTGAAATGATTACTACTTGATGCTTAAATTTATGCAGGGAACTTCGATCCTCAAATCCTCTATACAATTCTCTACATAATGTAAAGATAATGCCACTTCAGTGATCTCTGTACAAAAATTATATCATACGAGTGGATGCTTAAGGTTCTATTTGGGACGGCTTTCTTACTGCTTTTTAAAGCAGTATTCTAGCACAAAAAATAAAAATTTTGTACTAAAATGCTGTTTTAAGTAGTAAGAAAGTCATCCCAAACGAAGCTTAAGAGCTATCTTGCTTCGGCTTCTTGCTTAATTCCAAATACTGGCCGCCCATCAGTTGCAGAATCTCTTCCCACAAGAACGAACAGGAATCTGCAGAAACCCCAGCAATAAGATGAGAGCTACAAGCTGCAACTATCCAATAATCTGATTCAATCTCTTCTTTCAACTGATCCAACTGCCACCCTGCATACCCTACAAAGAATCTAAAATCCTGTGCTCTCAGTACTCCCTTCTTCACCAGTGCTGCTGCTTCATCTAAGCTGTTTCTGGCACCGAAGCGAATGCCGGGGATGACTTGTTCCAGGCCAGGTAGAGGGGAAGTTTCACCAGTTCTAAGCAAGAACATGCTCGAATCAAGTGGTCCACCAAAGTTAAGGGAGCAGTCTGCAAATGTAGAAGCAAGGTCTGGATTTGAAGGTTTAATATGTTTTATCTTCTTGTGGAGGGGACGATTGATGATGACGCCAAAAGGACCCTCTTCTCGGTCTCTGGTACCAGATCTTAGAAGAAGGACAACGGTTCTTTCAAAGCTTCGAACGCCATCAAGCTTCTCAGTGGCAACCAAGACGCATCCGGTCTCTGGCATTGGAAGAGGGTGTGCCCACTTAGTACTTGACTGTTGCGAAAATCCACTAGCCTTGTTATCATGTGTAGGAGAATCAGAGTCTAGCAGGTTCACCTGGATGTACAGTTCAAAAGGATGATTTCACAGAGCAGACCTCATTATTCCTGAATGTATATAGAGTGATTTGTAATTGAAAAGCTGAACATATAGAAAGTTGGAATTTCCTAATTAAGTTGATGAATTTATCAAGATTTTGCTCAACTAATTATGAGAAGTATACTATTAAGTAAAGGAACTGTAGGCATCTAAAATTGGCAAATCAGCCGCAGATGCATGGACTCAAGTGTTGAGGCCAAGCAAGAATAAAAAGCGAGTAGCTGTACAAATAATGACTAGTACTAAAATCCATAATTTTCAAGAGGATGTCATCAATCAGCTATGAAGACATCTGTGCAAGACCATGCCGATTGTCATTTTAATCGAACTGTTGTGCATTTATCACCAATCTTTCTTAAAATATCACAAAGGATAATTCTGTTTAAATTACTGGAAGTACTTCACTGCCTTCTAAAGTCCCAGTCATGTTTCATCCAAAGAGTTAGGTGGGAGGGGAGAATTTCTTTAGAGAATTGAGATATCTATGATAAATTCTTAGTTGCTAGAGTAGAGGAATCAACATCAGACCTTTATACAAGTATATATACTTGTTTCATGGGGCTATGCAAACTTACCTGCTCCCTTGCAACAAGACTTGCTCTAAAATCTCTCCAGTCTGACAATATGTTCTTAGGTCTGAGGGACTGATCATCAGATTTTGATCCATCAGGGTCTGGATTGGATTGCTCGGGACCATCTCCCCTGGGGAAGGATGGGTCATTGTTTCCTGCAAATTTGAATTAAAACTGCGTCAGTGCTAAATCCTCATTTATGCCTTCAACCTCTCTATATTGCCAAGCAAAGCAATGATAACCAATGACTATCATTCCAAAGACTTCATCAAAAAATGAAGGATTCAATCTATCAATAATTAAAAAATGTTCATCATAAAGGTAAATCATAATACAAGAACAACATCCAGCTTTTATCCTACTATGTGGGGTCGGCTATATGAATCCTTTTTCTCTATTGTATCCTATTAAGAGTCAAATTCTCATTTAAATCTAATAAGGAAAGGTCATTTCTAATATTTTATGTCTACCTCTACCTTTCTTGACATAAGTCAAATCCAATACATCTATTTGCCTAACCGGGTCATCAGAAAGCCACCGTTTTATGTGACCAAACCATGTAAGGCAACTCACTCTAATCTTATCTTCCATAGGAGCTACTCCAACCTTTTCACGTATATGCTCATTTCAAATCCTCTCTAAGAGTAAAGTCACTCATCCACTTGAGGTAAATCATTATACATACTAATTTTGTTTAAAAAGGAAAAATAGAAAGATATGCTGAAATAGGTGCCTTTATATAGTTATGCTGACCACATTGTTCAGTAATTAAGCTCTAAAGTTAAAAAGAAGACAATGACCAGCTAAATAATAATAATCATTGTTACAAATAAACTCATAATGTGGAGTTTCTTGAACATATGGATTGCGCATATAAAATCAAAAGGTGAGTTGATTAATGCAATCCAAATTTAGCCAATTTAACAAATTATAGGTATTGCAAATCAATAAAGAAGCTAACAAAACAAGGCATCATTAGAAACGTGTCCAACAAGTCTTTATCCAAAGTATATGAAGCAGCAGAATCATGTTTCCCGTTGATGGAAAATATTCTAATATCAATTCATTTTGCATTATACATTTCTTCCTGAACAATATTCTGTGTCCTTAATACGTTAACATAGGTATTTGGGGAAAGAATCAAAACATATGTATTACACAATTGGCCAAAACCTATGTACAAAATAGGTTAACATAGGATCTAAGTTGCCACCCTGCTGCAAGCCATAGATATCATTTATTGGAAACATATGCAAAATCCATAACTTGATGTACCTTTGGCATCTCTCTGTGTCATTTTAATTTAAATAATTATAAAAAATCCTCAATTAAATATTTAAATTGCATTAATTGTCCAAAAAATAACTGCAAAGGTTTCCAAGGAGATCAAATAGGAAAAGGCTTACATTGGTCAAATCAGCAATTGCCACAACTAAAATGACTTGTATAACAATGAAGAAAAGCAAGAGGTAAAGACAAAAGAAAATAAATATTAGTCAAGCTTTCTATCCAAGCTCAACATAGAGTACCCTCATGAGAAAATCACGCAAAAGGATTTTTCTTTACCCTTCTTTGGCATGCATGTGTAAGAATGCAAGTGTACATATATTTGTGAGCCCAATCTCAAGTGTTTTATAAAGCCTAAGATATCGATCTAAAGTATTCAAGGTATGATTAAGGTTGTCCAAAAAATCTTCTTTCTTTTGGTGTGCATACTGGAGGGGAGGGGGGGGGAAGGTCATCAAGGTGAAGAACTGGAGAAAATCAGTCGAAATTTATTGGGCAGAGACTGTTATAGAAGGGGAAAATGGTGATACCGAGGACGTCACCATATCCCCACTTGCTGCAGGTGTTCCACGGTAGTGCCATCGAAGGGCACTCGTGGGTACAGAAAACCTATCGTAGGCTTCTAACATAATTATATTGGGTAGGAATGCAGAAAGATGTGGAGGAGATGGGACCAAAAATGATATCTAGCAAAGGCACAAATACATGGTGATGCCTCCAAGATTTCTAGATGGACAATATATTGGTCCCAATTTGAGGACAAAGTGGCTATTTGGGAGGGGAGTATTGATACGCTAGGGGAGGGGGGCACCTTGTAGGGCACAAGGGAACTATTATTCATTATGTAAGGAGGAGGAATCAAGGGAAAGTTGTTTACGAAAGTTCCTAAATAAGGGGGAACTATCTAGGAATGTTTCCAATTATGTTTATTATATGTTAGGAAGGATTTAAGTAGGGAGATTTTAATTTGGAAACTTCCTATTCTATTTATTATATGGTAGGAAGGTTTTAATTAGGGAGCTTCCAATTCTGTTTATTATATGTTATGAAGAATTTAATTAGGAAGCTTTCAATTATGTTTCTTATGTGTTATGGCCATTTAAGGAGAAGTTTGTCTAGGGTTTGAGCTTATGTTTTGTTGAAGTTTATTCTAGGATTTGTTGTGAGTTTCCTAGTGGCGTCTAGTGTTTGTGGGAGAGCCGATCTACCTCTTGAATGGTAGATCAATTATATATTGCATTGTTTTTGAAGAAAAACAACTATTATCTTTGTGTTCCTACATTTTCCTCCTCTTTCACTTGCTATTTTCGCATCTAGTTCCTATCAAAGTCACATAGAAAAGCACTCACATAAGAACCATATAACAAAAATATAATATCCAAAATTTTTTCAAAAAAGTAAGCATACAATTTTACTCTCTAGATTCTCCTCATCTACTACACTCCATATTGATTGAAGATAGACAAAAAAAATCTACATAGTAAGTATTTGCATACCCATATGGTCAGATATATTGGTTTAAATAACCATGCTCTAAGTTATATCTTCTTAATTAAAACAATCTTTTGAGATCAAATTTCATAGTTTTAAAAGCACTTATAGGTGGATTAGCTGACAGTTCATTCCAGACAGAATTATAAGTCTAGTGTCAAGCTGGCATAGTTCCACGTGGGTTTCTAAGTTCATAAGTCCCTTGCATTTCACTATATATAGGTCGGAGTTCTTACCTATCAATAGTTCTCACCTTAAATCTAGTGTCTGGAGGTCGATGTTCTTTTTAGTCATCGCAAACCCTCACCTTGTAGGTATTTTTTAAACCCGTGTTGTTGAAATCTAAGCCTCAACACTCTAAATTAAATTGATCAACTTTTAACTAAAATATAATTTCAAAAAGAAAAAACCCAACAAAGGATAACTTGACATATGAGTTTCTTATAATCAAGAGCTCATACTTCCTCATTTGGCATTCATTTCAAAATTGATCTTAACTTGATCTTATCCCCTTTGAAATTTCCAAAGATCAAATCTTTGAAAAGAATTTATATGAATCAAACCCTCTAAAATTGTTAGTCAATATTTTGTTAAAAAAACACAAACCACTATTTTAATTAAAAGTGTTTTAAAGTAACAAATGCTTATGATATAACTGATCATATGGGCTTGCTCTTATAGAAGCCTGTACCCAAGAATAAAATAAACCCTGCTTGATCAAATATATCAAGTAGGAGAAAATCTATAAAATATAAATTTTGTTTTAAACCCATAATAAACTAATATTTTTATTGTTCGGGATAATATATTATTTTTTATGTCATTCTTGATCACAAAATATCTCGTCCGTTGAAAATGAAAAAAATTCCACCAACAGATTTTCTAATGACTCCGTTGGAGAAAGTTTTCTCTTTTCATCTAAAATAATGGTTTCATAATTCTTCTGAAATATGCTAACAAACATCATTTGTATGGGATGCCTCACCTATTTCAATCTTTGGTTGAGTGCTAGCAATACAAACAATAAAAAAATGCTTTTAAAAAGAATTTTTCAAAGAAAAATATTTTAAAAAAATCAAAATTTTCTATATCAAATTCTTCAAAATGCACATTTTCAAGGATATCTAATTTTAAATCTTTCTTATATTTTATAACCAAGCAATGCTAACTGGCATGAGGTTTCTAAATCTATGAAATTTCAGCCATCACCCATTAAGTCCAAGTCACAGTTACGGAGGGTCAATAACTCAAGTTGGTAACAAAAACCCATAGAGAAAGTGTAGTAATTGGTTGATAATATGATAATTGGATTTTAAAAAATATAGCAGAAAGTTTGATACAAGAAATTTTGGTTTTCAAGAAAATTTGAAAGTCAATTCAGTAAGAATTCAAAAAAGAAAAATGTAAGGTAAATTGATCTTCAAGTTTGGAGAGCATCTGCAACTATCCTTTGACCAATCCCGATTTGCCCTGGGAGACATGATCAAATTTGGGTAAGGATTTCATGTAATCTTCCAAGGCCCTATACCCTTTAAAGTTAAGACAATAGATGAACAATCTTCATCTGAAAAGAAGGTTCTGAAAATTAACCTGCTTATAAGGGAGAGAGAACCTCCTCAAAATAGTAGAAAGAGGTTGACCAAGGTGTCCCCAAAAGCCTCTCGACCTTCTGTTTTTAATAGGCTAACATTCCCTAAGGTTTAAAAGTCCAACAAAAACAGAAAGCTTTGAATAATTCCTTGTTTTGGATGGGCCTCAATCAGCTCGACCCTGGATACCCACAACGGAGTTTAAGTCGGGCAATACTAAGGTTGGTGAGCAACCTCTCTGCGCACCTCTTCGATTCTTAGCGTTAGTGGTGCTTATGTTCTCAACGATCTTAGACATGCGGGCACCTCATATGGATTGGGGAGCCTTCGATTGCGCTGGAAGCTTGGCCCTTGATTTTTCTCACTTGGGACTGGGTCCTTTCTCTACTTCTCACTGCAGTATGGTTTTTTCCTTTGGTGAGATCATGGCGTAGAGTGGTTGTGGAAGATTTGGTTATTCATATTCCTAGGCATTGATATGACTGTTGATGATTTCTAACAATTCTGCCAATGTCTTCGACTGCTACAAGCCTAGTGCATATCGAATGGGGCCTCTCAACTCTTAGGTCAAAGCAGCTTGAGCAACAGTCGGTTCAAGGTCTTCTACGTCAAGTATATCTTTCTGGAATCGCAGTATGAAACTTCTTAGTGACTCGTCAAGTTCCTATCTCATATTTAATAGAACTTGAAAACTTTTAGGGGGTCTCTAGGCACTGGTGAACTATTCAATGAACATCAACTTAAATTCGATGAAGGAGGCAATCACCCCACTCGGTAGGGGGCTAAAC